GAAAGTGCTGAGAGCAAAGAGGTGACCAGTTGGGCTCTGTGTGCACAGCAATCCCTCCCCTCCCCTGCGCTTAAGTCTCTGGGTCCTATTTTTTAAGTGTATGTGATGAAAGAGGAGAAAATCTCAGCTTTGCTGATATTAACTTAATTCCTCTCCATGGGCTGGAATGTCAGATGTGATGAACGTGCTGGATCAGGGCTCGTGGTTTTCTTCAGGGAGACTCAAAGAGGTGCAGAAAGGTTATCTGTAGACAAACTTTAGTACTATGGGACGTAATAAAAAATTACCAGGAAGGCAAAAAAATTGTAGTGCCTGATCTTGCTGTCAGCAGCCACAGAGAGGTCAGGAGCGCAGTCAGAGCACGGTGCAGCACCGCTGGTAGCACCCTGCACAGCCCTGGTCAGGTCACCTACCAGGCCTGCTGCCTGCTTCCCAGGGCTGGGGAGATTTATTAGTTCCTGCTTGTGTGCCATGCTGGAAGTACGAAGTGCTAAACATTGCTAAAAGCTGTTATGAAAAAAGTGTTATAGACAACAACAATATTTTATAGCCTGCTTTTTTTTTTCTGTGCTAAAGTTTCTGTGCTCAAATAGAGTACAAACACACAATGCACGCACACACACATACACGCGGAGAAAGGAGAGAGAAGGGGTGGGAGTCTGAATGTGCACATGTGAAACGATGCCAAGATGGACTTAAATGACTTGCGAGGTCGTTAGAGAGCAGTGACGAACTGACCTGACCAGGGGAATATTTATTTTTGTTTTTAAAAAGGCCGGGGTAGGAATATTGGCTGATTGTTCTTGCACTTTTTCCAAATCTAAGAAAAGCTGGTTTCTGTGGAAGCCTCGTGCATTGCTCCTCAGAGCCTGAACTGCAGCCACACAGGAGTGCTGCACAGAGACCAGGAAGGCGAGCAGACTAACATGCAAAGTGAGATTGATGGTTTCATTTTCTGTGTCTACCTTGAGAGAGGCAATAAAGAGTGCAAGAGGAACAAATGTCAGAAGAACTGAGTATTATGAATCACTTTTTTAAAGCCACATAAGGGTGTATTTATAACACAATAATTGCTTTTTAATTGAATTTTATATGCAGTTGAAAATCTATACTTAAAGGAAAATTCAGTGTAACACTTCCAGAGAGGAGCACTCTGAACATGTGTTTTTATCGGACCAGGTTCTCCCAACTGATGAATCAGTTGAACATAAGAAATCCTACAGACAGAGCCATAGGAAGAAGGTTCTACCAGAGATCTACCTGACCAGGCTGCTCTCCACAAAGGTAGGAGAGGGGATGGTCTCTGTCATGCAGGTGGGATTGTTGGATGTTGTCTGCAGCGAGAATCCTGCAATCTTAATTCAGATTTTAACTTCTTTACTCTCTGTGAGTGCTCAGCTCCAGCAGTTGGGCTCCAAGCCCATCTTTAATCCCAGCATGATGCCTTACTGGAGCAGAGATCACAAGGATGGCCAGCAGTCTCCAGTCTTCTTTGTATTTACTGTGCAGAACAATCACAGATGTGAGAGCCTAGCAATAAGAAAGAAAATCTTGAAGCCAAAAGAAATTAAACCCAAATGCAAGCTAATTATATCGCTCTGCATAAACAAACCTTTCTCTCCCTACTTCGGCATCCCCTTTCTCTTCTGATTTATTCAACTGGCAGCAAAGGATTTCCCCTTGTGTGCAGTTGCAGCCCCTCATGCTGTTTGCCTGGGCTCGACTGCTGCTGCTTTCCCCAGTCTCCATTGTGTGTGCTTTTCCCACAGGGCACGCTGCAGAAGTTCTTGGATGACTTGTTCAAAGCCATTCTCAGTATCCGAGATGATAAACCACCTGTGGCCGTGAAGTATTTCTTTGACTTCCTAGAGGAGCAAGCAGAGAAAAGAGGGATCACAGACCCTGACACTTTGCACATCTGGAAGACCAACAGGTTTGGAAGAGGAAATCTATTCTTTCTTTCCTTCCTTCCATCTCTCAGGAGCAGCAGCTGCAGAGCCTTGGTGTCCTGGACTAATCATTAGGTTGCTAAAAGTAGAAGAGGGACTTGGAAACAAGAGGGGTGTGGGTGGGGAAAGATGAGGACAAACACAGATTTGGAGAGCTTTCAACAAACGCAGAGCTCAGGGGAGCAGCAAGCTGGAAGAGGAGGCATGGGCAGATAAAGGGCAGAACGAACTGGCACACTGATACAGATAATTAAAGGAGAAACAGAAGAGGGACGGGACAACGAGAGACAGCAATGGTGTTAGCTCCAAGCACTGGAGAGCTGAAACAGAGTCCAAAATCATGTCAGGTCTTAAAACATCATGGAGATTTTAAAACCAGCATATTTGGCTCCTTTTCATTTGCTTTCTGGCTTTTCAGCCCTTGGGAGCACTTTTCCCAACTTATCTCTGTAACTAAGCTGAGACTCCAGGGTATTCCCAGGACTGCGGGAGCTCGTGCTGTGACAGTGATGTGCTGGCGGGCACCGGGGACCAGCCGGGAGCAGTGCTGAGGGATGTGATGAGCAGCAGGAAAGGAGTGGGGGAGTCAAAGTGAAGGCGGGAAATAGAGCAGGAGAGAAACCAGGAGGTTTAACCAGGGAGAGCAGAGAGCTTGGAGGGAGTGTCGAGGACAGGCTGCAGGGACAGTAACTGTTTCCAGCCCAACATGTGAAAATTAAAAACAAATTTGGCTGGGATAGCAGGCATGCAGACACAACCATTGAGCTACAGATCTGCCTACCCTTCATTACCTTTAATTGCCAGTAGAGCAAAGACTTATAGCAGCTTTCACTCCTCAGCTGCTGAGGAGGGATGGTAGGAAGGGTGAGCGATATACTGAAACTCTGTTGTGGCCAAATGAGCACTGAAATAACTAGAGGAGAAAATGATGAGAGAGCAGAAAAAAAGACACATGAAATGCATTTCACGGGGCCAGGCTTACCATCAGAACCAGATGACGGTTACTGTCAGGGAAGAAGGAAAAGGAGCTGACACCACTGCTACAAAACTCAGCAAGGGAGGAAGCCCAATGTGACAGCCCCATGCAGACGAACCTTCCTGTGTCTCTCCTGGCCCACAGCTGGCTCAGGGAGCTGCTGAAGGAGCAAGGCTATACGCTCACCTACACAAGGCTGGACATGAAGTCTCCTCTCCATGCCACGTGCTTCAGCCTGAAGAAAGGTCTCTTCAGGGTGAAGACTTGTGCCTGCCCCTCTAGCTATGCAGAGGGCCGCACACCACCAAGATGTGATGAAATAGCAGAACCTGGCTCCTCATCTTTTTCCTCTCTACTACTCACTTTCTATCACATCTTTCCTGCATTTCCTCCCCTCTCCCTCTGGAGTACAGAGATTCACCCAGTGTGTGTTCCTGTCTTGTTTCCCTCGCAGCTTACCTCTGAGGTTTTGGGTCAACATCCTGAAGAACCCCCAGTTCGTCTTTGACATTGACAAGACAGACCACATCGACGCCTGTCTCTCTGTGATAGCCCAGGCCTTCATCGACGCCTGCTCCCTGTCTGACCTGCAGCTGGGCAAGGTACCGTCCAGAGGAGACATCTCACTCCTGCCTGGGCAGTCATAGACACGGACCAGTACGGGTGGGAAGGGATTGTAAGAGGTCACCCAGTCCAACCTTCCCCAGCACTGGGGCCAGCTGGGAGCCATTGTCAGTGTTGGGTTCATGACTGGACTCGATGATCTTAAAGGGCTTTGCCAATCAAGGCAGTTCTGGGATTCTGAGTCTGTCGATATTCTCTGTTGTTGGCTCAGGCAGGGGTGAACACACCAGGTGGGTGTCAGTTCTGCTCTGGGCACAGGCAGGGGAGCCCAGCTGCCTCAGTCAGGGCTGGCTTAGGGGACAGCATCAGTGTCACAATCCCGCAAGAGCAGCGAGGGACAGTGTGAACTCCCAGTGGCAGGATGGACAATGGCGGAGCTTCAGGTGAAACTTTACTGTTGCTGCCTGTGGTTTCTGCACGTCCCCTCAGCTGGGGGAGCTGAGCCTTCGCACACTGGGGCTGGGTCTGCCCAGGCAGCGCAGGGCCAGCCTGGCTCTTGCAAGATACAGGGACAGCCTGGGGCCATCCCATGGACACTGTCCACC